CGTACAGAAACGTTGCTGTTGTTCCAGCAAAAATCTTATTTTCACTTTACCGAGTGCCTAGTAGGTAATTTGCAGATTACCTAGATAATCTGAACATTACCTAGGTAATTTGAGAAATGGAATAATTTTCGCAGCTTTAACGGATCACCCTAGTTAATCTGCAGATTAGCTAGGTAATGCGCACATTAACGGATTTCGAGCTTTAGCGGTAACATATACATTAAATGCATTTAATTATTGAGATTAAAACTTGTGCAACTGGCTCTAAAATAAGCATTGAAAGTAGAATGTATCAATAGATTCCTGGAAAAATTGTATATGTTGCAACAAAATATACTAGTATGTTACAGGGTAAAAGTATTTAAAAAAGTAATAGTTTTTATTTTTGTAATCCATAAAATTTCTCAATTTTTTTCAGTTATTGGAGGAAGATAAACTTAGTCAGTTGGATGAATTTTATAAATTGATATCTCCAGATAGAAATTCTGAAGAAGAAGAAACATCTTTTGAAGAACAGCTGTTAGCAGCTGCAGAACATTTGACATCTCTTTTGGATGGAAAGAACAAAGAAGTTTTAAATACTACATGTATCCTATTTTTTCAGATGTATAAATTATATAAAATAATTTTAAATATATTTATTGTTTTCAATTATATATAATATAAATATAATATAATACTTACAATTATATTGTATATAATATAATTGTAAGTATTGAATATAATTATTTCTTTCTTTGCAAGATCATAAAATATTGGATTTGAGATTCAGATTGCACTAATTCTGTATTGCAGTAATTAATTTTCTTTTACTAATATCAAACAAGAATTCAAATTTTTCTACTGTTTCTATGTATACTTAGACTCTTCTGTTTAATTGTGTTAAGAATCTATTTAATATCACATTAAAAATATTTATTTTAAACTTCTTACAAACATTGCAATGTTATTTCTTTCATTATTAGCAAACTTTTTGAACCTTATAATCTTCACTAAGTTCTTACAGTTGTATTTTAATCTTTATTAATTTCTTTACATATGGGTTTTGCCAAATTTTTATATGTCAGTTTTTCTTTGGAATTACATTTTTACCATTTCTTTAGTGAAAATACTAAGGGAAGAAAAAAAATTAGTAGTGATCCTTACAATTAATATAACTCAAGCGTTTATAGTTTCTTAACTCTTGAAATATTAGTAAAGCAGCATTTTACAAGTTTTTCTAAGGTAGTTGGAAGTTAGTTTTAAGTTTAACATTTTTCATTTTCATATATAAGGTTTTCATCACTTTTACTACCTGCTTTTTCATTGCCATCATTAAAAAATATTTTCAGTGGATAAAACAATGTACTACCTATGTTTTAGTGGTTTGACAGCATCATAGTGACTGCTATGCTTTGTTTCCCTAAATTTTTCAAAGAATAAATTAGCTCTGAACCATTTAATTAAAAATTTGTCCATCAATAAATCCATTTTTGTGTCATAGTGGAAAAATATACAAATATTTGCTGAATCACACCCAAAAATTGGAGAAATTTCACATATTGGCAAATTTTTTCCAGCTAAATTTAAAGTATGTGCTGCACAAAGTGTTTATGTGGCTAATTTATTTTCTTCTTATAGATGTGTACACATTATATTTGCCTGCCTTATTAGCAGTGGTGTCATTAGACTGACTATGGCAGTTATTAATAGGCAAACAATTTTTATCTTTTTTTTTTTATTATTTGTTCTTTAAGAAAAGAATCAAATTCTGATATTAATTCTAGGTATTTCATGCTCTATTTTGTCTTTCTGCCATTAAATCAAATAATTTTGCTGGTGGTCATTATTGAAAATTTTAGAACTTTTGATTAAACATTTTTCAGATTGCATTGCTGAAAACTACATATACAGAATTTTACATAAAATACAATTTTTGATGATAATGATTCATCCAGAAAAAATCAAAAAAATTTAGTAAACTATTTTTAAAGACTGTTTATTGGTGAATCATCATTTTGATTTTTAACATTAACTCTAACTGTATTATTTCAGTAGACTCTTACTAGTCAAACCATTCCTTGCACAGAGAGGTGATGGATTACTGAGTGTATATAGGCCTAAAGACAATAAATGATGTGATTCTGATTATTTTTGAAGACAGGTAGGCAAATAATACAGCCTGATAAAATGCAATATTGTACACACAAATGAAATTGAGTAAGCAAGACGGACAACAGAATGTGTAACATGACTAACCTTTTCATGGAAATGAAACATGGGCAATCACATGGGTATGCCAGATAATTGAGAAGCCAGATTAGCAAGAGTCTACAGTATTAAAAGTGATATTGCAGTTAAAATCCTTCTGAAACCATAGATGTTTTTGAATAATAATTATACTTAGATTCAAGAGTCAAACAATTTGGTTTCTAATTGATGAGTATATAATACTTGAAAATGCTTGACTTTTTCTTGCACTTTTCAGTAGAAGTTTAATTTTATTTTCTATTTATATTTAAAATCTTAATTAGCATTTTACAAATTACAAACAAAAACAAATTGACTAAATATTATATTATAATGATAAGGATTACATCTCATTATATTATTTTCACAATACATTTGTTTTTTCCTTCATGAAAAATGATTTACTTAGTAATAAAAAATATAAATGGCTGACAGAACATAATTAAAACATAAATTTGTACTTATATGTGACAGGTAGATCTACAAATAAATTTAATTATATTTATAATCTTAACCCTCCGTAAGTCGCTAGGAATGGGGCCCTTACTTGAGTCGCATGGGTCTTACAGACCCAGTGTTTTTAATATGAAATAATTCAATTTTATGTATCGCGTAAAGAAACTACAGTTTCTTAGTTGGATTCTGCTCTTTGTTTTCTATCTAGTGATATAAATTACTTGCGTATTGACAAAATGAATTTATTAATATTTATTTTTATGTAATTCGATACGAAAAACGCAAAAAAATAAACATATCAAATTTCAACTCGCTGTAATTTATCTCCTGTTTCACCGATTGCCATCGGGTTTGTTTGTAAGTGGGGAAGAAATATGACACTTTCAAGCGAAGTGAGTAGAACTTTTGCACTACTGCGAGAAAATTTGTCAACCGACCCCGCGTTACCCC